TGTAAACTTCTGTCTCCATTGCTTTTTGCCTCTACTCATCTGGGTTGATAGCTAAATCCTTTTAAGAAGAGGATGTCCCATTTTTATATGGTTTCATGAGGCTTAAAATGTTAGAACCACGTGCTCAGGACACTGAAACATCTGTGTGATGGAGTTACACCTTTAATCATGGAATAGAATTGCTGGAAAGGACATCTGCTCCAACTTCAGCATTTTAGAGATATGAAATCAGTCCTGGAGAGATAAATATGTTAGAATATCAGAGAACTGACATAATCCTCAAAAGTCATTTAATCCATCACTTTCCAGTTGGCCATCTTTTTCGTGGTATCTTCAGATGTTTTCCCACATCTGCATACCCTTTACATATTACATTTTGTCGTCTCCCTTTTTCTCTTAATAATAGCTCCACATTGCAAATTTAAAATATTTTCAAGCATTATTGGTTTCTAACCATTAACAAGGCCCTAAATACAAAGCAACAATTAAAATAAAAACAATCATCAAACATAATATATTTTGGAATAGCACGTAAACCCACACGTACAACTTCAGCATCACATCTGGGCACCGATTCATGTCCTGGATGTTCCATTTCTGATACAGATCCTTGATAATGGCTTAGAAAAAGAAGCAGAATGTGGCCCAAGTGTTTGGGCCCCTGTCACTCACATAGGAGATTCATATGAAGCTCCTGGCTCCTGGCTCCTGGCTTTGGTCTGGCCCAGAGCTGGCCATTGAGACCCTCTGAGAAGTGAACCTCCAGATGGAAGATCTTCTCTGTGTCTTTCTGTCTCTCTCTCTTGTCTGTAACTTTTGAATTTCAAAATAATAAATAAATCTTAAAAATATATTCATTTTATTAACCAGTATATTACACTCTAAAAACACTAATTCAGCTTAAATGTTCCATGTTACAGGTAAGAGACTTGAGCACAGAGAGAGACTTTTAGTGAGTGGCAAATATACACCTTTATCCACACTACTTCCATTTATACTCATTTTTCTCATGCTAGCAACTGGCAAAGATGATCCCTGCTCTTAGGGTGTTGGGTTCTCAGGCAAGACAAGAAATTGACACACAGTCAATCCAGACAGTGATGGATGAAGACAGCAAAGACTCACAGGACCTAGCAGTGAGCTGAACATAGCACTAGCTAGAGATCCATTCCCTGATGTTAATTTCCTATTTGCAAGTAGAAGTGTCTAGTCCAGTTATTTCCCCTGGGGAGTAATAGACTCCTTCGGAAGATCTGGAGTCTCAGAATTAAAGGCCAAAATTGTCTGTCAGGGCTGACTGCATCCCTGCCCCCTCAGTGGTAATGACAAAGTGGTTCCTGGGACAGAAAACTGGCAAAGACCCAGCAGTGTCTGTCTTTAAACTAGTGATCTTGGTGTTTTCCAGACAAAGTCATATTTTTAATCAATAGTAAAAGGCAAGCAGAATGCTCTGTTTGCAAAAAAGCAAAAAATGAAGCTAAGTTTACTTTGATTTATTTTGGACTGTAAAATCAGAAAAACTAAAGTTGGCAGCAGGAGCCTCAGGGTAGATTATGACATTTATCTAGTATAAGTTTATGCTGGGTTTCAGCTACCAAGGACAATGAAGAAGGGAAATGGACAACATATAAGGTGGAAATGAGGAAAACCAAACAATTCCCAAGTCACAAGGTCTAAACAGATATAGTATGCCAAGAATCAAACAAACCAGCACTAGTATCTCAAGAAATCTGTTCTGCTGGAATTCAGAAGAATCAACTAGAGTTATATGAATCAAATAGAGTTATATGATCAATGTGATACCTTCTTTCTTTTATCAAGAATTATCACACATTCTGTTCTGCTGACCTTGCCTTGGCTATCATGAATCTTAGCAATAAATCTCAAGGACAAAATCTGTAACTACATTAAACATGGGCTATTATTCTCCATTTTTATTAAAGCAGCCATTCTCAAACCTGCACATACATGAAAGTGAATTTATTTTAGTATATAGATTCATTAAACCCAACCTCTTTTACTGCATCAGAATTCCTAGCAATGAGAGTCATAAAGATAGATGACAGATGATAGATAGACAGAAAAAAATCAAGATTTTAAATATCAGGAATCAAATGTTTAAAAGTCAGAGTGTGAGCATTTTGAGTCTGATGAACTTTATCATTTTGATTTATTTCTATTTTTAGTGGTTCCATTGAAAATATCTCAGTTGTAAGCCATCTGACGTTCTGGATGAAAATAGAATACAAATGAATGGTGGGAGAAGAAGCTAGAAAAAGATGTAATAAGAGGGAGTGTCCCAGTGACCCAGAAACACAAGGGAAAAAAATCAGATTGAGCATTTTAACCTGACTTCAAGATCTCAGAACAGAAAAGACTTTTCAAACATTTGAAGAGAGACTTTTGGTACTCTTCTGAGAAATGAAATCAGAGACAATGTGACATAATATTTATTTCCCCTCCTCAATTCAATATACTGCCTTTCAGGAAAACCTTTAAATAGAAAAGAGTGTTTATTCCTTTCAATGGAAGTGGGCTGACCTTCAAGAAAGGGTCTAAAGAGAAAGATAAGGCAGAATCCCAGGAACAAGATGGGTCATGCCTGGACATCTCAGAGGTGGACCATAGGAAAATGGAGGAATAGGGATCAGGAGAAGCCACTGATAGGCCTCAAGTTGGCTTGTTTTCGGTCAGTTCTGTCTTGCTTGACTCATGGGAGATTGAGTGTTGTTGGTGTGAGGCAGAATTCAAATTGGCAACTGACTGGTTTTGATTTAATTACATGGTGAAATAGTTTCTTAGGAGCATACAACACAATCTTTTCTCCTAAATGTGGGTTTAATTTTCAACAAAACGTTTCTCACATAAACATCATGTTGTTTCTAAACACTTCTTTCCATTCCCAGAACTGCTTGCAGCCTTTCAGAAACCCATTATTTTATAATTATAATCAAGACCATTAGGACAGGACAATCTGTGCCAAAAAGCACATTTACACTCAGAATTGTCACTTAGCCTATCACAGGAGGGATCATCTCTATTTCTGTAGAAATCAAGGAGAGTTGCAGACTCTGCTGTTTAAACTTTCCATTTCTAGATAGCATGGGAGTTACTGACCTTGCCTTGATTATTCTCCAGTCACTTCTCTGATTACCCCAGGCAGAATAGGCCAGGATGCTGTGGCAAACAGTTACTTGGTAGAAAGACTGCAACTGAGGATCAAGGCTAATTTGTGGACACATCCTGATGCTGCCCCTTCCTATTAGACAATTCAGTCTTTGCATGGTAATTTCTTCATCTGTGAAATGTGAAAATTATCAGTACATACATCATCAGAGATCATGTTAACATGTATTAATACATTTGATTGTTATCAGATGCATTAATACACAAACAGCCTCAGTCACAAAGCAAAAGCTTAACGGAATTTCATTATTATTGTCACTAATACACATAAGCTTTGTGACCTAGGGTGAGTTTCTCATCCTATGTGTGCATCCATTCCTCATTGCTAAAATGAAGAGTGGCCCCTAACTCTCAGGGTGGCTGTGGCAGCAATCAAATGAACACATGGGGTGCTCAATGTACTTAGTTCCTTTTGATCAATCACTTACTCCGCAGGTTTTGCTTTGAGCTGAAAAGTTCAGGGATCACTCTACTGGAAACCCAGAGTGTGTGATCATATTCCAACCAACTGGAAAGTTTCCACCCTCCCTAGCAGTTCACTGTTCACTGCAACAGCATTGTGTTCCATTATAAATGAGCAAGGTAAGGCTTCTGCACCTGTGGAATTTCTGGAAGCAGCAGGTGGTAATTCAGTGTGTCTTTCAGATCCCAGAAGCTGCCTTGTCCTTCCATTCTCCTTTCCTAATTGCTGAGACTTGAATTTGTCTATCAGTGTGAAACCTCCAGTCTTAGAAATTCCCAGGATCTGGCATACAAGGTTTGGGTCTTATCTGTTCTCAACAAAGCCTCTTCAAATAGTTGAATTTCACTTCCCTCCACTTTCTATGTTATCTTTATAATAGACCAATAGTAACACATAGAATGGCACTAACAATTCAGAAATACAAACTAAAATTAGAGTGATTTAGAAACTCATGTGAAATTACATTGTGAGGATGTGGTAGAACCAGGATTCAAATTCAAGTCCACTGTATTTATTTGCTACACTGGCGCCTACACAAAGGAAGTCTATATAGAATTTTTATTTACACTCTCTATACTTAGTAACTATGACTAAAATAGTCCCTCATAGAAATATTGAAGTTAAACTTTCAAGGCACTCTTCTCACGCTTATCAAGACTTCTACTTTCTTCTTCAATTAGTGAAATAGATTGTTAGTGTTCCAGGCATTATGGTCGAATTATAAATCTAAAGTTCTGTTATTTGGGTTTGTTCATCTATCCAAGTTAAAATAAGGGAGAGTAATGGTTTCCAAGGGACATGTTATCCTGTTCCTTATCCAAACAGTCGGACTTAAATCCTCTATTAAGATGCATTGAGAATTTACATACTCAGATAGTATCAGCTTAACCTCCTCACTGAGTTGATTGCAATGACACATACTTGTCATTTGATGAAGTCATTGAAAGAAACACCTCATTTAAAACTATGCAGCAGAAGAAATCCCTGAGTAAAGGATGTTAGATAACTGTTATAAATGTAGAAATAGCTGGACCTATGAGGAAATAATTAGGATGGGTCAAATAGGGTCCATTTGCATGTGTGCCCTTGGAGCCTGTGGAAAATAATTTGTTCTATCAGAAAAGAGATTTGAAGTTGGAGCAACTTAATCTATCATTCTTAGAGTAAATAATTTATTTCAAGCCATGCTTGGTGTTTTACACAGTTCATCCTTTAGTCCAATGCCAATCATTAAAAATAGTTCTTTCTTCCTTCCTTTCTTTTTTTCCTCCCTCCCTCCCTCCCTCCCTCCCTCCCTCCCTCCTTCCTTCCTTCCTTCCTTCCTTCCTTCCTTCCTTCCTTCCTTTCTTCCTTCCTCTTTCCTGAGGAAGATGGAGAGAGACAGAGACACACACACACACACAGAGATAGAGAGAGAGAAAATCCCCATCTACTGATTCACTTCCCAAATTTCCACAATGTCGAAGACTGGGCAAAACTGAAACTTGAAGCCAAGGATTCAACCCTGATGTCCTATGTGGGTGAAAGAAATCTAATCGCTTGGGCCATCACCAGTGTCTCCTAGGGCCAGCATTAGCAGGAAGCTGGAACCAGGGATCAAAGCCAGGTATTCCAACATGGACCACGGGGGTCTTAAACAACATCTTAGCTGCTAGAATAACATCTTAAACAACATCTTAGCTGCCACCTCCCAACAGTCATCCTTGCTTCAGTCTTTATATCTGGCTTCTAGTTCTGAGCCCTGGCCATAGCAATGAGAAGACAAAAATAAAGAGCAGCAGCACTTACATCACATATGAAATAAGAGGAAGGCATTAGAGAAATCATCTCATATAGGTGGCTATTTACCATTTGATTGATTTGGGATAGGTTACTGAAATTCTTACAGCCTTGGTTTCCTAATGTGTAGGGATAGTCTGAGAATTTAAATTAGAAATCATATGTAAGGCAGTAAAATAAGACCTTAATAGCCAGTGAGGGGAAGCATTATTAGGAAAGTGGCTGAGAATATTGAAACAGACAACAGCAACAGTAGGAGACAGCGCTGGCAATCTAGAGTGGCCTGAGAATGGGGTCCTTAACTGGGAAGCACAAAGGACAACATCACCAATAGAGACAATGCTTTGCTCATTCAGCAATTCTTCCAAAAACAACGTTGCCTGTGGATTCTTTGCCAGTCATCATGCTCAGTGCTAGAGAGGTGTAGGATAAAAGCAGATGTGCTCCCACCCCTCCCAGAATTCTCAGGTTATCACACAAAACTCTACTGTTGGTTTCTAGAATGGCAACAGAGTCTAGAAGAGATTTTTGGTCTGACAATGCCAGGGGTAAAGGTTGAGTCAGAAAGAAACTATCTAATTACAATTATAGTATCTTTTGTGGTCCCATATATTGGGGAAAACAGCAATTACCATGATGCTGCTTTGTAGATCATGCAATACTCCCCGTTGTATCCCTTTCCTAAAGCCCCAAAAGAGTACTCACACCTTTGTGTTGAATGCATATTATTTTAAACAACATTCCTATTACTGTTTTACACTCTCAAATAAGCAAAGCTCAAGGCATGCAGCTGGTAAACAACAAATCTTAGTTTTTGGCTTTCCCAAGATACCGCACTACTCATCATGGAGCTAGCGGAAAAAGATTATGCTCAAGCTTACTTCCAGTACCTTTCTTTCCTCTTTTTGGTTAATTGTCCAGACTTTCTACTGCTAATTGATTAACCCTGTTGTCTATGTATGCTTTGTTTAAAGTTCCCATAAGTCTTTTATGGTAAGAGATGTGTTATAAATGAATCATTCAGCATATATAATATATAGATATATACATTTGCATTTGCATTTGCTTGATGATTCATGGTTTCAGTTGAAGAGCCCTTGACTAGTGCCAGCCACAAAGAGAACCACAGAGGTTTCACTTCTCATTTTGCCAAATTTAAGCATGAAGCAATGGAGTGTAGTAGAAAATGAGCTTCCCTGAATAGGCTGGAGGCCCAGGTTCAACACTTGCCACTTGCTTACTCTGTGGTCTATTGGCAATAAATGAGTTTCATTGAATCTCAGGTTTAACATCAGTACAATGGGGAAAGTAATTCTTTATCTGCTAATTCATCCATGGTTATAACGGTGTAAATACGTCCCAGGATTTGGGTTATCACAGGAATAATGTGTTCTAATTAATATCACTTTCTCTATATTCTATGAGTTCTCCCTCTTTCACTCACAGGGTTTAAATGATTGCAAAGACCCCATCCTAGCCTGATTTTTCTTTCTTCCCCTTCTATTTCTATTTGCAGCATTGTTTTCCCTTCGTATTCACTTAATCTAAGATTTCCAGAATTCTTATCTGGGAGGCCACTGATGAGAAGGAGACCAATGTCAGCTTACTTTATATAGGCAAAATTCTAGTTGAATTTGTTATTCTGTTGAGGATCCTTGTATAGTTGCTTTAACTAAAACACATACATAGAGTGTATATTACATCATGAATACAAGTACATTCACATATGGCATGTGCATACACAAAATCACATGATCTCCAGCATTCTCTGAAACTTACATAGACATTTGTAGATAAACAAACATGCACAAACAGAAGAGTGGAAAACATGTTTCAAGCAGCCATAGATGTCCACCTTAAATTCACATATTCTCCAGGGAATATAATTATAGTCTTTCCCACATACCTATGATTGCAGATGCAAATTTGCATATACACTAACAGCTACATGAACACATGGGCATGTGCAAATACTTCTTCCATTTCCACTAGCATGTAGTGTATAGATGAGACATATACACACATGCAGGTATGTACAGCTACCCTAAAAATGCTCAAAGCAAATAATACACAAATGCAGTCCTGCACGTAGTTGTATTTCCAGTTTTGACACCTGGATTTTCTTCTCTTTTCCTTTTTACAAGTTCATTGTTTTATAATTGATATACAATAAAACTTGACATAAATGTATTTAATGTATCCAATTGATAAGTTTGGGCATATTCATATACCTCTGAAACTATTACCCACAATGAAGGCAATAGATATACCTATCATCCCAAAAGTTTGCTTGAGTCCCTTGTATATATATGTATGTGTGTTAAGTACAGTTAACATGAGATTTACACTCTTAACAAAGTTTTAGGCGAATAAGACAGTATTATTCTTTTTAAGCTTTATGATAAACAACAGATCTTGAGGACCGATTCATCTTTCACAGCTTCAACTTCATAAAAAATTAACGATTGCCTATTTCTCCGTTTCCCCCACTTCTGGCCCCTAGGAACCACAGCTACATTCTCTGCTTGTATAAGTTTGGCTATTCTAGAATTTCCTGTGGAAGCAGACAGTATTAGTCTTTCTATGACCAGCATATCTTATTTAACATAATGGATATCACTTTCACAAATGGTGGAATTTCCTTCATTTTAAAGCCTGAATAATATTCTAATATACACATATAGATTATGTTTTCTTTACCCATTTATCTTCTTATAGACATTTAGGTTCTTTCCCTAACTTTGCTGTTGTGAACATTACTGCAATGAACATGGAAATATGGACATGTACCTCGAAGTGGGATTGCTGGATTATATGATGGTTCTATTTTTAATTTTTGAGAGTCCCCCATATCTATTTACATAATGGCTGTAGAAGGGTGTCAAATTCTTCACATCTTTGACAGCCTTTTTTTTTTTTTCTTAAATTAATAGCTTTTCTAACTGGTATGAGGGAACATCTCCTTGTGGTTTTGATATAAAACTTCCCTAATGATATGTTCTTTGCTTTCTTTGAATATACTGTTTTGATGAAGCTGAATGAATGGAGTTTTCTGGGAGCTTACCTAAACAGGAGTGTGATCAACTGTGTCTACATTGTTTGCTCAGTGAAATCCTTTCTTTCTTAAATGTGGTCAGAGGCGGATGTCCAACAGGAAACAGCAGTGTGTACTCCCCACCTTGAATCATTTCATAAGCAGATCTCCCACCAATGGGGAAGGTCAAGGGAGAGACCCATGAAACACCACCTGGTCTAAGAAGAAATTTCTGCTGAAACTCATTTCAGGGGTCACTGCCACAGTATCAGCTCAAATGTGTTTGGAATCAGCAGGAAGAGGTGACCTAAAGTCATATCTACATCTAGAGCAAATTGCTCTCTGTGAGATCAGGAAGTTGGACTATATCCCCTCCCTTATTAATAAGATGCCTCTTTCAAACACATTCCTTTAATATTGCCTCCATGATAATCATAACTTAGTAGGTGAGAACTTTAAAATGATATCAAGTTACAAAGTGACAGTTATTTTTAGTATTTCCTTGAAAAATAGTGGTTGAATATGGATATTTCCAGTATGTTTCTAATAAACTTATTTATGATGTGGGATTACAAATAAGATATAAAAAATTAAAACTGATATTTATTAGACATATGTCAAGAATTCTTAGTTAATAAATAGAACTTGCTAAGGAACAACCAGCTTGTATTACTCAGATTTCCTCAGGAATTAGTTACAAGACTATAGCCTTTGTAAGGAAATTAATTTAAAATACAAAGGGAATTCTGAATCCAAAACTTTCTGAGTCATCAAGTGGAATCTAAATTGTATTCAGTATAAAAAAGGGAAAAGTGAGTAAATACCAAGTTCAGTTGAAACAACCACAACTGTTTTTAAAATGGCTTAAATGTAATAACGTAATTACCACCTGAAAGATTGAGGAGGACAATGTCCCTTTCTATCCCTATTGAGGTTCATTCTTTTTGTTCTAATTCAACTTGATGGGGTAAAAATTGAATTGACTTTCTGAATTTTAACACAGTTTTTATTCCCTCAGCCTTGTAAAGTTCATGAGACTCGCAATCCTATGTATTTTGTTCACTATTGAATCACTTGCCTTTAGCATAATGCCTGGCATTTTGCAGCATTTGATACTTGTTAATTGAAAAAGTCTTGGGTTCAGCCGGGCAGGAAGCCCCTCAGGAGTATTTTCCTCCTCAGATCAAAGTCATTGCTTCTTGTTGGTTGTTTTCTGCCCTTGCCATTCCCTCTGGACTCAGTGTTTTTCCATCCAGTAGGGCTTTTCTGAGCCGTCTCCAGAAGATATGCCGCCCCAGGACAGTATCTTCCCACTCCAAGTAAGTGTTCCTGCTGAGAAGGCGATACAGCTCCACCCGCTGCCGGAGTAGGGACTTCTCCACCTTTTGCAGGACAATGAAAATGATACCCGCATGGCTGCTCAAAAACTGCCAGGTCTGAGCAATCTCATATTCAAAGATACACCAGCGGCTCTGGATGAAGTGCTGGGACACTACAACAATAACCTTCCGGCTCTTGTGGAAACCTTCCTGGATGATGTTGGCAGCGATGGCCACACCAGGAATAAAGTCTCTATAGTGAAGGCAGAGCCGAAAGGGAGGCACTCCTTCTTCTAAGTTCTTTACTAACTCATTTCTCACCCAGTCCTCATCCTGGCTTGAGTAGATAACAAAGGCATCATAGACGCTTTCACCCCTACCATACTTTCTTCGGCCAACTAGAAGCATCAAAGGAAAATAGAACTTATAAACCAGAACTACAGCAAAAGATACCACAAGCACACTGAATACTGACACGCTAATGATGGTCTTGCTTATCTGACAGGTGGCATTTGTAAAACTCAGCACAGGCATATTTGGAGGTGTGATGCACACCATTTGTTCAACTTCCACCAACAGCCTCCTCTGGTCTTTGATCCACTGCATGAAAATCTGATGTTCACAATCACAAACAAAGGCATTCTTAGTAAGATGTAATAAAGTTAGATTACTTGGAAAATGCTGCTGCCCTGGCTCTGTAATATTTCCTATGTGATTGAAACTTAAATCCAGAACCTGGAGGGAGTAGAGACATTTATAAGTGAGTGTATCCAATACCAACAGGTTGTTGTGACTCATATTTAGTGACTCCAGTCTGGGGAGTGACTCAAATGCTCCCTGGTACACCTGTTCTAGTTGACATGAAGAAAGGTCCAGGGTGGTCAAGCTAGTCATCTCTGTGAAGATATTCAGAAGCCTGTTGTCCTGGAAAGCATTTCCAGCCATTTTTAAGACTCGGAGACTGTATAAACCATCAAAGATGCCACGGAAGGCAACTCGGATGTGAGTATAGGAAATGTCAAGGTAAAGGAGGTTGTTGAGTGATAAGAATATTGAAAATTCATTGATGTTTCTCAAATTGGAATGTTGGAAATACAGATGTTCCAGTTGTTCTAAGCCCACAAAGTTTGATGTCATGGTAATAACACCATTGAAGCTCAGATTTAAATGCTTGAGTTGGGTCAGTCTCAAACTATTCACAGAACAGCAGCTTTGGAGACTCAAACCATTATTGCTGATATCTAGAAACTCAAGGCTTGGTGTGTTAAGTTCTGGAAAAGTCCTCACACCTTTGTTGGCAGTGAAAATAAGTCTTCTGAGAGATGAGAGCTTCAAGAAGAAAATATTTTCACTAAATTCACAGTTAATAAATTCTAATGATTTCCAGCTGAAATCTTTAGGAAAAATTTCTTGGTTGTCTATATACATATGCACCAGAGCCATTACAGAAACATTTTCCAAACAATCAAATAAGTCAGTAATATTGCCTTCGAGGTCATCTATGTATGCTAATCGGAATTCTTCAATAGCCAAATTGCAAAGTCCCTCCAGGGCAGATTTATCAAAATTTTTCATGTTTCTTTCATTTTTAAATTCTCCCAAAACCAACCGGTGAACTTCTAAACCACTCAGCCCTTGAATACAGATCTTCATTATATTTGTACTTTTAAAATTACTTTTCAAAATCAGTTCGTGGAGTCTAATTGCTTCAAAGGCACCGGGTTGGATAAAATCTATAGGGTTCAAAGACAGGTCTAAAGAGAGTGTGCCTAGGGGCATTTGATGTAGAACACGCAAGTCTTTATGATAAATACTTTGAATCTTGTTATTTGAAAGGTCCAGGTGCTCAAGGCTAGACAGGTTAGAAAAATAGTCAGGAATACTGAAGGAATGGATAAGATTATGGGCCACATTAAGCTCCTTCAAGGTTTTGAGATGTCCAATAGGGAAGTCCCCTAGAGAGGTCAGGTGTGTCTCCACAGCCACTAGTTTCTGCAAATTTGATAGTCCAGAAAAAGCTTGTGGGGATAAGCTTTGGATAGGGTTTCCTGTCAATATCAAGGTAGAGAGATTCTTTAGGCCTTGGTATGCATCATCTTCAATTGTATGAATTTTACACCTGCAAGGAAAAGAGATACATAGTATATAATATTTCTGTTGACTAAAAATCCAAAATGCAATAATAAAGTTAGTCATTCAGCTCTTTCCATGGATACAGTGTTCCTTAGGATTCACATAGGCAAAGAGATGAAGTAGGGAAGAAGATAAAGCTAAGAGCAACTAAGAAGCCCTACAGATTCAGTATTATCATGTTGATCAGAATGATGAATGCTTTATTATTCACACTAGATAACGTGAGAAGTAGAGGCAGAAAGTCCATTAGAAGGCAATCAACTAAAGATCAATAATAAAGCACATCAAAATTTTGTGGTTGATAGAATATATAATAGCCCTGAAACAAATTTAGCCATACCACGGCACACATAAATATGGTCATACACCTGACTGGTACAGATGATATGATGGATGTTAGTTGCTAGCCAAATCACTGATGAATGTCAATTTCAAAGATATAAAAAATTACACATAAGTTTCACAGATACCCTTAATGTTTATAAAAAGTGCATATTTGAGAGCCAGGTGTTTGAAAATGTTAGTGACAGGTGATAGCTGTGAGTTTCATGGAAGAAAAGGAAAGTGTGTCATGAGAATTTGCATCAGGGGAACTGATCTAAAGCAGGCTTCCCTGAGAATGCTGAAATTAAAATTTGAAAGGTCAGTAGGCGGTAATGAGAAAAGAAGGTTAAGTGAACAGCAGATAAAAAAAAACTAAAATAGACAGCAACCATGGTATGTAGAGTGCTGTGGTGTGATGTGAATATTTGTCTCTCCAGACTTAGGAATTTAGTTTCCAAAGTCATATGTTAATGGTACTAAGCAAGTAGAAACTTAGTCTAATTATAGTGTTTAAAGGCAGGGGCTTTTACAACTGATTAGGTTGGATTAGGCCATTAGATTCAGACTCCCATGATTGAATTTTGATGCCTTGAAAAGAAAGCACATATATATGGAAAGATATGCATACTCCCTGTATCTTGCTATGTGATGCCCTGTGCCATTTCAACACCTTGCCTAGTAAGCATGTCATCACCAGAGGCCAAACAAATGGGATGCAACCAACCTTGGACTGTGAACCTCAAAAACCATGAGCTGCAATGAACTTCCTTTCCTTATACTCAGGTATTCCATTTTAGTAATAAAAATAAACTAATACATACCAGACCCATGAGAAACAGCTTCTTAAGCTTGAGGCAAAAGAGGGAATTAGAGAGGTATAAGAAGGAGTTGCAGAGAAAAGACATTTACAAACAAAGCAGAGGATTACAGGCCAGATAAATTGTTTCAAGAGAAATGGAAGCCTTGTGACATACTATATTCATGGAGATTTGCTACAGATAGGACTTTTATGCAGCCAACAAGCAGCAATTTTACAGGAAAACTCCTGTTAGCCTTGTAGGTGCATGGCCATTACAATTTTCAAATGAGTCCTTTCCTAATACAACCTGATTTACACTCACAATGTTTTTAATCTGTCCTTTTCTTTTCAGGAGGCACACGGTTAGTAAAATCCTTTTGGCCAAGCTTTTGTTATTTATTGGTAAGTGGGCAGAGTTTAATGGGAGCAGTAGTAAGACCAAAGGAAGAAGGAGCAAAACACTGGGTGTTGGTGTCTCTACAGTCCTTTCTCACACATGATCTTGGGAACCAGTTTTTTCTCTTTTGATTTCAGTTATCTCATTTCTAAGTGAGGCAGCTGAACATGATTATTTCTCAAGTTCTTTCTTTTAGTTACATGATTGTATATCCCATAATCTTACATAAATATTGCTATCTATATATTCGGCAAGAAAGGAAAGGTCTTGCTGTGTCTCTGTCTTTACGTGAGACTCATCACTTTAGAGAAGTAGAATAGTAAGATGAAGATATCATTTAACTTGAAAAGAGATACGAACTTGAATCTCTAGTCTTCTGCCACCAAGCAATGTCAATGTAAATAAGTCATTTAAAATCCTGAGGTCTCAGTTTCCTCATCTATTAAAAGGATCACACACACACTTGAAACACAAATTACACAAACACACACACATACACATACACATACACATTAGGGGAAAAAGGCTGGCTGCTCTATCACAAAGCACTCTGAGAAAAACAGTTGTCTACCTGAGCACTACACAAAAAGGCAAAGGAAGTATACTTTATTATTTTATTTTTTTAAGATTTATTTGTTGATTAATTTGAATGGCAGAGCAACAGAGAGAGAGAGGGAAATACAGAGAGGAAGAAATCTTCCATTCACTGGTTCACTACCCAAATGACTGCAAGACAAAGTGAGAGCCAAGCTGAAGTTAGGAGCCAGGAAATCCACCCAGATCTTCCACATGGGTGGTAGGGTCCTAAGTACCTGAGCCATCATTTGCTGCCATCTCAGGCAGGCAGTTATTAGCAGGAGGTTCAATCTGAAACAGAGCAACCAAGACTCAAACTAGCACCCCAATTCTGGCTTAGCCTGCTGCTCCAGAACATTGATCTTTTTATTTTGCTGTTGTTTGTCCTTGCATGAATTCAGAATCTTATATTGGCTAATTTCTCTCTCAGCATATATTTAAGGTCTCTGAGAGAAGTTTCTTGTGTATTTGTAGAATTTAAGATGAATTCTAAGGGGCACTGTGTGTTAAGAAACCACTTCTTATGTTACAAAAAGGGATGAGTATTGGTTTATCTACCTCAGTGCAGTTCTTTACAGAATTCCTAGAAAATAGACATTTAGGACCTAATAAAAGGATGTTATAATATTTTATACTCTTAAATGTATTTGATAAAGCTTACATACATGTATATATGATATTTATATTCAGTCTGACATTTAACCCTGTTGGGTTATCAATTTTACAGACACAAGAATTCAGACTAGAGAGACGAACTCTCATGTCTCAAGTCACCTGATCATAAATTTTGGAGAAAGACTTGCTTCAGGCCTTTTGATTCCATTTAGTTCTATACTCTATACCATTGTCCTAAAAATGTTCTACTCCGTCTTTGTTATATTTTCTCAGTATCAGAATTAGAGTATAAAATATCAGATGCTTAATTTTCAATAGGAATATCTGCTCTGAAGGTGACTCAGGAGTGTTCTTTTGGTGCAGCAATTAGTATGTCACTGGAAATGCCTGTATTTCATATTATGGTGCCTGTGTTTGGGTCCCAGTTCCACTTACAATTCCATCATAGTGTTATTGTGCACTCCAAGAGGCAGCAGGTAATGGACAATATATTGGGTCTCTGTCACTCATGTGGGAGACCCAGATTGAGTGCCAGTGTCCTCATATCTGCTTGGCATAGCCTAACATCATGGGGGGGGTGGTGAATCAGCAGATAGAAGTTTTCTCTCTACCTTTCACATAAATAAATAAATAAGCTAATAAATATTTATCAAGACTTTTTATAATAAAAAGCATATGAAATGTTTCTGCATTTTGCCTTATCCCTTTTAGAGAGTATGAGCCATTATCTAGTTCAAATTTTTAACAAGGCCTCTGTTAAGGAAAACTCTTTAAGGGTTTGGTTTCCCCCAAAACAGTGTTAATGACTTACCCGCCCTATGAATGACACACTTTCCTGCATCAGAAAGGAAAATCTTAGTCACTGCCCAGTTCACTGCCTGGAGCAGATATGTTCCTTGTTCTTGACATCTTGTCTCCTCCTTGTTCCCTATTCTCTACCACACTTTCAGCATTCCACACATTGTTTGAATGCCACCCAGGACACAGCAGTCCTCTTGACTCTTCACAACACAGAAAGCCTCTCTTCTAAAATATACAATATGTTATCTCTAGTTTCCACATAGTTTATTACCTAATGTCCTATGTTGCCACCCTTATCTCAACTTCACCTTCTAAAAAGTCACAGTTAGATAACGTTTGTCAGAGGTCTACTATGTGTCCAGCACCTTGCAAGGACTTTAATATATTAACCCTTTCAATAGGTTATGGCTCCATTAATAACACTATATTTTAATATACAAATGCATTTTATTAATAAGACTATTTTATATAAAGTATAATACATAAATATATAAATATTTTTGTTTCTTGGCAGGGTGTACAACATTGATCAAGTAGTTAATAAATATCTAGTCTTGAAATAACTTATTAATGTACTTTCATTTCTTTAAAGAGTATACAATATAGATCAAATGGATAATAAATATTTGCTGGTGAAAGAGTTTAACTTAATTTCTCTCTTTACTTCAAAGAAAATCCAAAGATAGAATTGCCTTAGCTGTCTTATGAAACTGCCATTTTGCAGATGAGAAACAGAGACCTGTGGAATAGAAGTAGCTTTCCCAAGGTTACACAGCAAATGGGATATATGTTTAATGAATAAATAAGTAAATGAAAATGAGACTGCAGCAGCCAAAGTCTCTGGCTCAAGAATGAAATGATAGAATAATTCACATCTCACCTTCTGGAGAATTCAAAAGCTGATTCATTACCTGGATAAATCCAGAAAGTGCAGTTCTGAGACATGCAAGAAGCTATGGCTGCCTAAATGCTCCAGGAGGTTAAAACTCAGATCCAGGTTCTTGGTTGAGAAGGGAATGTTGTCAGGGATTTTGTAGAGATTCTTCTCCATGCACTGGTAAGTAATATTGGGAACGACCTGGAATGATCAGACATTAAGTGCAATGTTTTCTGCTTGCACTCCCCAACTCTCCTCTATACCAGAGACTAAGATGCCTCTGGTACAAACACCAGAGCTAGTGGATCTTCTTTCATTCATCCATCTATCTATCCAACTAGCCATCCAGCAGGCCATCCACTCACTTAATACTTATAAAACATCTTACTCTAGATTAGGCAGGAACTAGCACACTACTACACACTTGATATTCTAACCCAACTATAACAATGCTAACATTTACTAAGAAATAATGAAATCAGGCAGGTGTGATAACTGGCTAAGGCTCTTTAGTCTGAAAGCCAAGTACTTAATATCAGCTCTTCTGCGTGTTTTGAAGTAAAGTCTTAAAAAAAAAAAAAGAAAAGAAAAAGAAAAACCAGTGAACCTCATTTTACCATACTTAAAACTCTGTTAATAAAATATTCCTAACATTCTCAATACATCCTTCCATTGCCTACACCCTTGAGGAGACTTCTATTCAAGATCTCCAGGACTCCCCACAGCCATTGTTTAATCTTTGTCAGTTATATTCTCTTCCTTGGCTCACTGACCTCTGAGAAGAGTGATACAGAAATGTGGGAAATCTTTGGATGCATGGATTCCAGTGGTGGAACAAAGCTAGTAAAGGCAAATATTTCATACTGCTGTGGCTCCTGCACTGATTTCTGGTATCCTTTCCACATTCTTTCTAAGCTTTATTCTCTAAATATTCATCTAATTTCTAATTTCCTTCAACAAAATCCTTGCTTAAGTGAGGTGATTTTGATTTTCTGTAGCTAAAACCATTAGAATCTGTTTAAAGAATTACATAAGACAAGTATTCAAACAGTTGTTCAAAGCCAACTTCAGTGTAAATGGGCAATAACTATTAATACTAATTACTTTAATTATTATGATTCCTTTACTATATGCCAGAATATTTCTTTTGTTATATACTGTAACTTAATCTTCATATAAACCTTTTTTTACAAAGATCTAGAAAATAGGATTTGAGATTAGCCTATATGTCTAAAGTCACAGAATTCATCCAGACAGGTTCTTACTACATTTTTATGTATACTTACATTTTACCTACCATAAGTGCTTCAAAGATAATACTACTTAATAGAAGCAGGGCCAGGCACTCTTCCATTGCCCTCCTTCATTTTACGTCCCAGGACGTAGCACTACTCAACTTTACAGTGTCCACGTGATTGTTCCCTACCTGTTGTTCATCTTCTGCACTAGATTGCAAACTCTGATGTTTTCATTTACCACCTTGTCTCCAGCACTCAAAAGAGGGCCTGGAAAATGGCCAATTCTCAGAAAATAGGTGTTGAATAACTGAATGAAAAATTGATGGTTACTGATTGAAAAAAATTTCCCTTTAATATGAATAGTACATATTTTCTGCTAAGCACACTGGCAATAAAAAACAAACATGATTTGGTTCCAGATTTCAAAAAACTCCCTATCCAGTATAAGAGTGAAGATTGGAAGAAAACTAGCATTGTCTAAAAGGATCGTAAAACAGGCTTGGAAAACTTTCTTCTGGTTCAGAGTAAATAGAGATCATTTTTTGTTCCAGGAAAGGCTTTCTAAATGGGTTTTGAAAGGTAATTAAGGCCTAGATACATGGAAAGAGGAAGAAGGTTATTTCATGAGCAGAGAACAGCATAAGTAGGGAAAGGGCAAAAAACTAATTCAAAATAGCTGGTGAGCAGTGGAAGGAGTGAAACCTAAGCCAGGGGGAAGCCAGGGTGTAACTAGACGGCTTCAGTCTTTGTACTACAGAAATGCTTTCAATCATTTAACACATACAAATTGAACAGCTGCCATGTGCTAGGCATTGGGGATATAGTGATAAATAAACCAGCAATGATCCTACTTTTTTATAGATTCTATCCCAAAGCTAAAGACAATGAACTCATAAACAAAAATATATGATATGCTCTAGAAAAAACAAGCCATTTAGGGGGAGTAGAGGTAAATAAGGAGGATTAGGGAGTTGACCATAGAGCAATCTGGGAAGACAACCTTGAGGAAGAGACATGTAAGCACAGATCTGAATGACAGGAATGATTGAGTCATAAAAATGAATAGATCTGTACTGTCTGATTTGGTTGCCACTAGCTATGCAAAGTTATTGAGTACAAGAAATGTGGATAATCTATAGCGAAATGTGTGATAAATGTAAATCTTACACTAAATTTCAAAATTTAGCACCAAACAAGAGTGTAAAACATTTTCTTAATATTAAAAGATACATTTTGAGTGCTCACTTCCGCAGCACATATCCTAAAAGATACATTTTGAAATAATATTTTGTCTATACTAAGTTAAATAAAATATTATCAAAATTAAATCCACTTGTTTCCTTTACATTTTTAATGTGACTACTAGGACGTTTAAAACTACATATGTGGCTCATGTAATATTGTTGTTGGACAGCACTGATCAAGGGGAAAAAATCCTGGATAGAGTAAAATAGTCAGTGTAATGGCCTTGTGTTGGGAAACTGTCCTAATTTAAATGGAAAGTTATTGAAAGTCTTGAGAGTGAATGATTTCTTAGATCTGAACCTCCAGAAAAAAACAATCACAATGAATAAATAACAAAGCAAAGGTTGCAGAATTCTTCACAAAGTGGAGGAGGGAATGGAGTGAGGCAGCAGCTACCATGCACGCTTCACCACCAGGGTAGCCAAGGGTCTGTCCTAGGATAGCTCAGCAGATTGCTAGGGCTGTAAGTTTGGATGACTGCCAGACATGGTGCATGGGGGAAGGGAAGAGTCAAATGTAGGTGTGATTTTATGAAAGGAAAGCCCTGACTGAAGGTCCTATCCCAGTAACCTAAGAGCAGGAGGAACACAGAGAGGAAGACAAGGAGTAGCGCTGGGCGGGGAGAGGACACTGGTAAGGAATTTGTTCTTGGTGTATCCTGAAGTACACTGTTTTCTCCCATGTCCTCACCTTAGAACACTTGCTATGCTTCTCCTGTTTCCTGCCTCAACCTAACCGACTTTCCTGCCTGTTTCAGAGGCGACTGTGGAGCCTCTGCAAGGGAAAGTAAGAAGTGAACTCTGTTGAACTCTTACCCTGTATGCAGTTGCCCAACAGCTCACTGTTAGTTCACGAAGAAAGAAACCATTGCATTAACTGACTCCCTCCCTCCCTCTGCCCCTCCTTCCCTCCTACTCCTTTTTCTCTCTCTTTTTCTTTTTCATTCTACTTTTTTGCAACCTCTGGAAAAAAGTATATGACTGGATACAAAAGTCTGAAATCTACTTAGAAAGTTCTTTCTCTTGAGAGACAGAAAATGCCATCTTCTTCCTGGGGCTGACGTGAGCCAGACGTAGTCTTGAAGCTGAGTATGCAAACCACCAGTGGGAAACAAGGACATGGGAGCAACATTTTTGCAACCCTTTGCTGAAGGAAGCCCTCTTAGAATTATTTTACAAATGTGAAAGCTAGACTTAGAGTGGCTTAAAAACTACTTGTAGGCCATATATCCAGGAGGTCACAGAACAGTGATTTTAAACAGGTCTATCTAACCAACAGCCCCTAATAGCCCTCAAAAGCCCTAAATGAGAAAAGACACCACTGGCTGCCTGTTAGTGCCCTGTTAACAATGAATTATTTGCTTCCTGTGGTTTCTTGAGTCCTTTAGTAATTGAACTCATTTTTGCATAATAAGCAAACTAGGATTCGCAGCAGGAAGTTCTGAGCAAGGAGCAGAGTTTTTAAAGCAAGGAAAAGCTTACAGGAGATGAAAGGACCCCAAGAACATACCTCCACACAGGGCTCCCAGATTTCTGGTCTCAAGTAGGAAAGGAAGGCCATGGCTGGGACCAGAGTCCCAGCCAGGCGCAGGCGAGGCATCATCCTGGCATTTTCTGTGAACAGCAGTGGCCGTGTGAAAACATGATGCCCTGGACACTCCCGACTGGGCAGACTCTCGGAGGTACTGATAGCTTCTCTCCTGCTGAGTCGATGCCCCACAGCAATGACTGCTTTTAAAGTAGTTCTGGGCTAAGGGGCAAGAGGAAGTGAAAGTGCCAACCTTAGCATCTGGACTTTTGTTTCTCTAACATTTGTCGCCCCTGCCACAGAGGGGAAGTCAGAAGAAGAAGAAAACACTGGCCGGCCAGGGGCAGCAGCAACAGCAAGAGGAAGCTGGACTTAATCTCAGGAAGTCATCTGATCTCTGGGCTTGGCCAGTGTAGGAAAACAAGCAGACTCTGTACAAATAGTCCAGGACAATGGTGGTTTTCCACTTTCATCTTAGTATTAGCTTGAAAAGGTTGCCATCCCAAAGTACTGCAGGCTGGGTGCATACGCTGCAGGGGGGGGGGGGTATTTCCTGACAGTTCTGGAGTTTCTAAGTTTGAGTTCAAGGTGTCAGCTGGTGTGACTGTGTCCTAATCCCTCTTTCTTATAAGTCGCCAGTAACACTGGATGAGGGTCTACCTATATGATCTCATTTGAACTCTTTAAAGATCCTGTCTCCTGCAGCAGGCATTGTGGCACAGATTAAGCCAGAGCTTGCACGTATTGCCAGCAGTCCATATTGGAGTTGGGTCAAGCCCTGCCTACTCTGCTTCCAACCCACTATTCTTGCTAATGTGCCTGGGAAGGCATCAGATGATGACTCCAGTACTTGGGCCCCTGCCACCCATGTGAAAGGTTAGAATGGACTGCCTGGCTCTTGGCTTCGGCCAGGCCCAGTCCTGGCTGTTGTGACCACTTTGGGAGAGAAAAAGCAGATAGAAGATTCTCTCTCTCTCTCTCTCTCTCTCTCTCCTTCTCACTCTGCTGTTCTTCCTTTCAAAAATAAAACAAAATTTTTGAAGAGATCCTCTCTCCCAATGCAGTGCCATTCTGAGGTTCTGAAGCTAGGACTTCAATGCATGTATTTTGGGTTCACTCTATAATACCATTCAATCTTCTGAAAACACTCAAACATAAGAATGTGTCAGTCTAAAAAGCAATCAGAGGAGATTCTCCAATGAATAATGATATTTGGGGTGGGAGATGGGGATTGAATAGCAGAATATTACAATGAGAAACAACAGTATTGAGAGGGAAACAGGCCTATATAGCAAAATATAGGTGTATCCAAAGAGACTGAGACAAAGGACAAATTGTAAAGGCAAAAATAAAGAGTATTATATCAGACATCTTGAAACAATAATCTTTGGCCACAATGATTAATAAAGAGGGTGATGTTGGTCCAAGGTTGAGCAGACATTTGCTAAGCAGATGTCCTTGCAAAATGTTATCTGTGTAAGTCTGTGATTGTCTTTGTGCAAGCTTGTGTTCTAACAGCTTTTTGTGATAGTTGCTACTAAGTAATCATGCATGAGAATCTTCCTTCGTAACCTCCCTGATTATTTATTTATAGAGTTTACACAAGTGATTCCATTCAAATCTGACAATTTTCATATTCTTTTCAAAAAATCAAAAGCAATGTCACAGTGAAATACAATTTGAAAAGTACAGAGATGTTGACAGAAGTTTGTGATTCAGCAACAAATATACTAAAGTTCAATTCCAGGCTGGATAATTTTTATGGCTATGTGGCATTGTTCAATTCATTTACATCACCAAGTCTTCATTTTTGAACCACAAATGAGATAATCATAATTCACACTTGTGGAATTCATATAAATAAAGCGATGTGGCGGTAGGCAAATTATACATAATTCCAAACCTCACTTTTACAATCTTTAAAATGGAGATACAGTGGCCCCTGCTTATCTAGTTTCACTTTCAGCAATTTCAGTTGCTCACAGTTAACTGTGGTCTGTAAAACATTAAGTGGAAAATTCCAGAAGTGAAATGTGTACCTTTCTGAGTAGCGTGTTGAAAACTCATGCTGTCTCACCCTGTCCCTTCTGAGAGCGGAATCACCCTTCATTCGATGCATTTATACTACGTGAACAACCCACTGATTAGTCATGGGTAGTAGCTGCCCTGTTGACAAGATCAACTGTCCCAGTATCACAGTGCTTGTGCTCTAGTCACCCTTAAATAGCAGCCCTAAGGCTACATCACAATACCTGCCACATCCATCTCACTTCATCCAACAACATAGGCATTGTAGCACTGCACATCCTCACAAGAAGAGTGAGTACAGTATATTGAGACATTTTGAGAGTTCACATTCATATAGCCTTTATTCAGTATATTGTTCTAATTATTCTATTTTGTCTTGTGTTACTCTCTTTCTGTGCCTAATTGATAATTAAGCTTTATAATATATACACATGTATTCACATAGGAGAAAAATAGGATAAACACGTTTTTACCCTGTCCAGGTTCAGGCATCTACTGGATGTCTTAAAACATATCCACTTCAGATAAAGGGAGATTAGTTAACTTACATAAATGCATAGTTCAGTACCTTGCTCTTCAATGTATCCCACAAATGATAGTGCAGTGCTCTGAATAAAATGGGGACAAAATGGGCATAATAATATATACCTTGAAGGATTTGCATGGGAGCAAATGAGTTGGCATTTGTAAAACTTTCAGGAAAGTATGTAGAGAGTAGAAAGTGAAATGTAAATGAGAACGTAATTTAAAATGAGGCTATTACTGGCACTATGCCCTAGATAGCTCTATCAAGATGTCTTGCAGGGACCTCAAAGCCCACGTCTATAACCAGGCTAGTGAGGGGGCCAATCATAGTGGACTGAGCGCAAGCTTTTGTAGACTCCTTCACCACACCTGTAAAAGTAGCCTAAAATTATGCCTGTAAAAACTTTGCTGTAAGGATAAACTTAGACTACTTACATAAAGATTTTAGAGAAATGCCTTTGGCAGAAGAGGTACTCAATAAAGTTGAGCCACCTGGAAAGTTGGTAGTGTTTCACTTCCACATAATCATCCAACACAGGATCTCTTTGAGTTTCCTCCTCTCACTGATTTAATTTTTTCACTAAATGTGGAGAAGAGGGCTTCAAAAATTGATGGAAAATATTCATTATCTTTCTTTGTTCCATTAATTTTTGAAACAACCTTATATTAATGCTATTTTTATTCATTTTCTGTACAGATCCTTGTCAACACATAAGGGCATATATCCCGATGAACAATCATAAATTGAAATTAATCCTATATTTATGTCCAAATAATCCCATCAAAAGTGGAAAATATTCTAAGTCAAAAATACATTTAACACATATAACCTACCAAGCACCATAACTTGGCCACACAGTATGCTGTAGAAAGTCATTTGTTTTCCCTCAAAATCATGTGGCTAACCTGGAACTGTGGCTTACTGCCAATGCCCAGTATCATAAAAGAATGCCCTACTGTATTTTGCTATCTTGGGAAATGCAGAAAATTCAAAACTGGATGTATAGTATCTTGTGACTATGTATTACTTTTGTATTCTGCAAAATTGAAAAATCCTAAGTCCAATCATCATAAATCAGGGACAATTAGTGTATTTTTTTCTGATTTAAAAAATCTGTTCAGAAGGCAGAGAGACACACAGAAAGACAGATAGACAAGAAAGAGCATCCACCCGCTAGTTCACTCACCAAATGCCCAACATGATCTCAGTGGTATTGGAGCCAAAGTCAAGATCCACAAACACAATCCCAATCTCCCACATGAGTGCTAGAGTAATAATTACTTGAGTTTTCATTTACTTTTTCCCAAGGTCTGCAATGGCAGAAAGCTAGAGTTAGGAACCAAACTGGGATTCAGGAACAGGCACTCCAATATGGGATATGGTCATCACAACTGGCATCCCAACTACTTGGCCAAATGTCTCCTTGCACCCTATTCTGTGCTTGGTGTTTTAGCAAGTGTGTCGCTCCCCCTCTTCGTGGAGGAGCAACACAGGACCCTGCGCTGTTCTTTCGTCTGCTCGGCCCTCCCCGGGTTTGCTGCTGGTTCTTCCCGGGTTGGCTACTATCCCTTCCACCTCCGTGGAAGGGCAGTTCCCCCTGGCCACATTCCCCACTTCCGCAGGGGAGCGGCACACCGCCGGCCGGCTCTCTCGGGGGCTGCACGGGTGTTCCTTCAGCTAGATGTTCCCCATAGATGTTCCCGGTGCATGCTGTTTCTCTCCTCCTTTATAGTCCTCCTCCGCCAATCCCAACTCGGCTGCCCACACGCCGAGTACGCTGCTCTCCTCCAATCAGGAGCAAGTCCTACAGCTCATTAGTTGAACTCGAGGCAGCTGTGCGGAAGCTGTTTACTTCTCTCCCAACGCCATATTGTGGGAGAGCAGATGCATAGAATAAGTCTTAATTCGAGTAACAGTCTAGTCCGGATTGCTCCCCACAGATCCCCCTTTCTTTTTATTTTTTAGCGTTGATACGCGCCTGTCTTCGGTGTCCCGCGGCACACACTCTGCTCTACTTGCTAGAGTTGCCACAGGCTCTTACAAGTCCTATCAATCAGGAAAACCGAATCCGGGTCCTCTCTTCGCCATTGTGAGGAGGTTTTTAGGCGCTGATGCGTGCCTGTGTTCGGTGCCCTGCAGCGCATACTCTGCTCTGCTAGAACTGCCTGCAGGTGTTTACAAAACCTATCAGGCAAACCGAATCCAAGCCTTCTCATTGCCGTATTGTGGGGGAGACTTATTAGTGTTAGTTTGTGCCTATCTTCGGTGACCTGCAGCTCATACTCTGGTCGAGCTGCTTGCTGGCGCTTTACCGCCTTAAATCAGGCAGACCGAATCCAAGCTTAATATTGTTGTATTGTGGGGAAGCCTTACTGATGTTAATTCGTGCCTGTCTTCGGTGACCTGCGGCTAGCCGCCCAGGTGCTCATCGCCTCACTAATCGGGCAGACCGAATCCAAGCCTTCTAATTGGCATGTTGAGGGGAGGCCTTATTTTTCTCTATTTCTCTATCTCCGGGCATTCCTACCTCTCCCATTTCACTTCTATCTTCCAGCATTCCCATTTCTCTTTTACTTTACTTCCAAACTTCTGTTTCTCTTATCCCCGCAGCTTCCCGCTGCCCGCCCTGAGGCTACTTCTCAGCAGCTTCCCGGCTTTGCGCGGCTTGGCTTCGCGGCTCCGCGGTCTCCACGCTTAACCCTTTCGCGTCTGAACCACGGCCTACGCCAGCGTTCCCTATCTACTCACGCCCCGTGCTCTCTCTGCACGCGGCGGCTTCCGCGAGTAACAC